TATATATATATATATATATATATATATATATATATATATATATATATATATATATATATATATATAGGGTTGAGTTCACGTGAAACCAAGGGTTTCTAATTTATGTTCATTGATCAACTTTATAAGCTAATGTCTAATGGTCTAAAGTTGCACGGTGACAATTTTGTAATTATTGAGAAATCCCGTGACAATTTTGTGATTAAAAATGTTGAGATTATATATCTAATCCAAGCAGGGCCATCCCTGGGGGAGGGCGGCACGGACGCACGCCCAGGGCCCAAAAATATTAGGGGCCCAAAATTTTCCCTTAAAATACAACAGTAGTCTAAAAGAATTTAATAAATTAAAGAAACACAAAAAATTGTAGCAAAAAGAATTTAGGTGATAATAAGGGCTAAAAAATATATCAACTAATTACATTAGAGAATAAAATAAAAAAAAGTTGGTCATTCATTACATGCTATTGTTTCTTGCCACTCTATTTTTTTATCTTTAACAAGGTCAAATGATATTGGTTATTACTATCTCTATATGCTTAACTGTTTTCGTGTTTCAACAATTCAACGTTAAAATCATGTGCTTGCTATTGCTATATATTTTTGTTAGATATTTTTATCAATTTATGATTCTATTGACTATTGCTATTTAGTTATGTTGTTCTAATTGTTTTTGTTGACTATTATTATTATTATTATCTATTTTTGCTTCTACATAAAATATTTTACTATTGTTTGACAATCAATCTATTGTTCTTATAATTTGTGACGTGATTCATGATTTTGTGATTAATCAATATTTTTTTTTTCTACCAGATGTATTTAGTAATGTCTTTTATATATGTCATTTTATATAAACTTTTAATCTTAACATCTTATTTTAGTTGAGCAAAAAAAGAAGGAAAATAGAATTTAAATATTTTTATCAATTGTTTGACTTATGTATCTTTCATTGAGATTTCACCACAATAGAAAATTCTATTTAAGTGCTCAAACAATCATTTGTTAAGCTTGCATATTATATGTTTAATTCATTATTTATTTTTATTGGTTCTCAATAGATAATCTTTTCTTTCATATTCTTATTGATCCTCATTTGTCTATTTGTCTAGAAAATCTTGATAATCTTCTTTATTATTGATCTCTGATTGACACTCACGATTACTTCATTCACACGAATTCTCTTTTTATATCAAAATAACACATATTTCTTGTTATGAATTAAAAAGATTCTTACCTTTTATAAAATTTATCAACTATAGTTTTTATAGTATTGGCTTCAAATTATCTAATAAGAAGTACGTAAATTTAAGTACTCTCTTATATAGCTATAATAAAGATAAATATGATTTCTTTCCTCAGTAAATTATTAGCATTTCATGTACTCAATTTATACTAATAAAAAACATTTATTGAATTTATTTTTCGTACTTACTGATGGTCACTACAAGAAAAGTAAACTTTGACAATGCGTCTTTTAGCAATGACATGTTTCCAACACAAGTTATGATGACAACATGTTATATACTTTTTCTGATCATAAATGGACTTTTAGCGACGACAAAAGTCGTTGCTAAAAACCTTCTTTCTTACAGTGGGCCATGTTTTTATGTTCGCTCATGGCCCATAAAATGTCAGGAACGGGTCTGAATCCAAAGGTTGAGAATTGGTCTTACGGGTCTCCGAAAAAAGCTTTGGTCTCAAACAAAACCATGTGTATATTCAAATAATCACTTATGGTCTATGCAGGTGTATATGCTTCTGTTTCAGACCATAACTTATGCACATATCAAATGTTAAATTTCATGCTAAGCTCCGTTTACTAAATGCTTACCCGGTAAGCGCTTATTAGGTAATTTTCCTTACCGGGTAAACATGACAAGGGTCAAAAATCTTACCCGGTAAGAGCAATGATGAAAGATAAAAAGTCTTACTCGGTAAGTGAGGGTGATGACTCTTACCCGGGTAAGCGCTTACGGGGTAAATTGTTGTATACAATCTTACCCGATAAAATAATTTACAGTATTGACTTATAATAGTAAGCACTTACAGAATAAACATTTAGGTAAATTGGCCCTTAGTATTCATTTTACACCTACTTCTATACCAATCAGAAAATATAAGTTTACACCATTTTTATGAATTTAAGGGCCATTTACCGATGCTTACTTGACAAAAATCACCACCTTCACTTACCTTGTCGGGTAACATTCTCAACCATCAAAATGGATTGTTTGTAAGCATCTCTTTACAGTCTTATCCCTTACTTACCAGGTAAGAACCTCAGTTATTGCCAATTGTCATGCCTCTTTCCGGGTGAGGTTCTCGATCATTGACATGCTCACCCAGTAAGGTAAGTGACCGAGTAAGCGCTTACCCGCTAAGCATTTAGTGAACAACCCTCAGGTAATGTTTGGTACGCAAACATGACTGACTAGTACAATGGACAAGTTATCTATCTGGTGTTTAGGACAACTAGGGGCTAAAACAATGATAAGACAAGACTAGACAAGTTGCCCCTTAAAATTGTTTGATGATTTTAATTATCATATAATAATTATAAATTACGCAAATCAAGTAAATATTTAAAATGATTTAATGTTTAGACATGCTTACACAATTTTCACGACGGTGACTGTGGAGGATGAAGATGGTGAAGAATGGCGGAAGAGGTAGTTGTGACTAATATAGTGGAGGTATAGGTGGTAGTGGTGAAAATGATTGACTATGTATGATGAAAAATGGTAGACGAGGTACGTTGGAGGTTGTTGCAACAACAATGGTGGTGAAGGTAGAGGCGTTGGTGGTTGATGGTTGGTGGATAATGGTGACTGTGAATGATGTGAAGATGGTAGACAATGGTGGTGGCGGTGGCCAACAATGTTGGAGGAGGTAGTCATGGCCGATGTGTTGAATATAGAGGTGTGGTGAGTGGTGGCAGTGGTAGGCGACGATGGTGGTGTTGTTATGGTGGAGATGGCCGATGGTGGTTGTAGACGTGGGGAGGATGTACTAGTGGTGGTTGCCGGTGGTCATTACTGATGGTGGTGGTGGCGACAGACCAAAGTACAGTTATATCAAATAAGGGAGATTAGCAATTCTTTAAATGTCTCATCCTTGTCCCATCTTGTTCCACTTGTTTTGGTGGAACAAAAAAGTCTTTTTTCAGGTCCCAGTCCTGGTCTCATGTTGCATCAAACGTGGAACAGTGAGTTTTGTCATGTCTTGTATCATCTTGTCCCATGTACCAAACTCAACCTTAATGTAAGAGTTGATGTTACCGATTGCAGATGCCCTAGATGCAACCTACACATGTTATACATGAAGGTGACATTTGATTTTTAATAGGTGTTGAAGTCTTATTTCATTTCTCATTTATAAGAGGTGATGCTGAAGTCTGAAATCTAAATCAATTAGCCTGTTTGTTTTTGTAAACTCTGAATTTGTTTAAATCATATATTTTACCCATTAAATATTTTATACTGTTGAATTTATAGATAAATTTATACAAATTCACATATTTATTATTATCATTACAAAATTTACATCTAAATTATATAATTAGCATTGATTTAAACAAAAATGTCATTAACAGGATTTAACACATTTAAATCATATTAAAATACATCAATTGAGAGGTGAGGATTGATTTGGTAAGGATCGATGGAGAGAAATGATTAATTAAGGTTAACCGATTGAGAAACGTCGTTGTTAAGAGTTTGAAGAACAATAAGGAGTAAATAAGAGGTTGGTTTACCTCTTACCAGATAAGAGGACAATAAGACATAAATGACTCCGAAAAATTAGAAAAGACAAGCAGTCTAAATAGCGCTACCTCTTAACGATTCAGACATAAGAGGCTGATGAGTTTTTTTATAAAACAAGGCCGAAGTCTAATCACTTGTATTGATCATTGCGCACATATGTCGAGTCAACTCGGCATCCAATAATGATATGGGCAATGCCACACCCCACAGGAGTGTCATGACTTATACGAGATTTCTCAAGTCGCTTCTTAGATCATCGGACTTGCACGATTTCTATGCGAGTTGGGACTTGCTTAGAAACCTAAGTGCTTCCTTACCGACTTGCAAGTCGCTTACATGTCACCCAGTTTTGACCTTATCTTGACGTCTTCGCAAGTCGTTTGTACCGTCCGAAAGTCGACCTGTACAACATATTGGCCTTTTCAGGCCATTCTAACTCATTTTTCGGCCATAAACCCATTGACCAAATACCATCATATGCGAAAGCATCCATTCCTGATTCCTTGACGAAAAATTGATGGTCTTAACTCTTAAGGCTGCCAAACCGTTTTATATCAAACATATGATACCAAGTAATGGTCACTCAGAAATAGAGATGACATGGTGCTACATTATGTTATGTTTATGAAGTTTGTAATGCGATGTAGTCGCAATAGGCTTCTGTTGTACAATTTTAAGGTATCATAATTCTATGATATGTTTTTGTTGACGTGATACTGGGTATGTAAGAGACCCAACTACACAAACCTAGAATATTCCACCCAAAGCTGGGGTCTGGAGATGAGATGTGGGCAGATGACTCAAAAATACGGGTGTTTTCAAAAAGACCGCCGACTTGTGAAAAGAGTGAATAAGAACAATAGAAAACACAACAGTAAGCCCCAATTTGGAAGAAAAAAAATGTTTTTTCCATGAAGACAAGAATATAACAGAATGCAAAAATCCAATCTAGCTAAAAAGCACGCAGAAAAAGATGCCACAAATGACAAACCTATCTGAAGACCCTCGAGGCCTCGACCCTCCTTCCCCACCCCACCCCAACTGTAGCCCTAAATGGCTAAATCCGCTGCCTCCAGGAACTCCTATCCGAGAAGGTGGTGTGACACGTATAACAGTAACTATATAACAACCTTACTTCTATGAATTGGAAAAAAAAAGGAAACAAGTTGTGATGATAATATATCAAACTATAGAATCAAAAGGCTTACTAAAAGTTCAACAGAAGTGTTTTAATGTTCACAATGTCAGCAAATAGCAATTCAATGGTGTTTAAGCACCTGATATTTTGTTGTAGTAGCAGGATGTTGCAGTTGCAGGCACATTTCATCCATTTTACCAATTGCCAGTAGTGTCTGTATCACGGGACTGATAAAAGTCATTTGGCCTCACTATGTTCACATCCTCAAATTCATTGTCATCTGACAGCAATAATGTCCAAATGTCAATTCCAGAAGAAAAGCCTTTAAGCAAAATATATATCGATACAAACATGGAAGAAACGCCTTCAAAAGTCACTGCTAAGGTTTCAATGTTTTGATATTTTCCCCTTAAAATACAAGTGTTCCAAAATTCCAGCTTAGGGCAGCTAAATCAACCACCTAGGTGCTAACTCCTCCCAGCTTCAAGTTGAGTGAGCTAAAAGATTTGACTACATTAAGAAGTAAAAAAGCCTGCTAGTAAAAGATTATCAAATAAATAGTTACTTTAAAGCTTTTCAAAACACTCGAATCAAAACAAACAGACCAAGTTCTGATAGTAAACTAAAACTGCAGAAAAAAATTGTGGTAAAGGCTTTCAGAGTCGAGAGATGAAACTGCTTCTAACTCGTACAAGATTATCAAATAAATAGACATATATGCATATTACCATGAAGTCGTGAACAAAGTAAAGCATAAATGGAACAAGAAAATTGAGAAGGATAAGAAACATAACCTTTTCTCAGTGTAAGTGCCACAACAGCATCATTCTCAACCTATGAAAGATATGAAGAAACATATGAAGAAAATGTACAACTAAATAAATACAATAATTCCCTTCTCCGTGTGTCACCAAAACAAGTGGAACATTTCCCTTTTGGCAAAGTGTCAATCCAGTGTTGCATCTTTGCCCGTAGTGTTGCAAAATATTGATTTTGGTCTGTGGCATTCTTCTCTTTCATTGTTACTAAGGCACATTTTAGAGTAATTGACTGATAGGCAAACACTTCAATAGACTATGCCCCAAGTTAAGCATTGAATGCATTTTGGGACAGAGGCGTTGCACATTTTAAGAAGGATGATGTGGAAGAACAAGGTAAACAATGTTTGATGTAGAAAACGAAGGCCTGAGCCTACCCCAGCTAGTTTGAAATAAAAAGGCTTGTTAGGTTGCGTTTGGTACGCAGACAAGACTGGACAACACGGGACGGGTGAGAGTGAGGTAGGCGGATATAAGAATCGTACAAGGTTTAGGGTTTTTGACATGGGTAGTTTAGTCATTTACAAATCTTGCCTCATCTCCCTGATTTTTGTTCCACCTATTTTGGTGGGAGAAAGAATTGCATTTTTGTCCCATTCAGTCTTGTCCCTGTCCCGGTCTAACGTCGCACCAAACATGGGACAACAAGTTTTTTTCTGAAATGTCACGTCCTGTCCCACATACCAAATGCACCCCTAATGTTGTATTAAAGAAAGATCTAACACCTTTTGATCTGCCAATGTCTTTGAATCATCCAAGACTTCTCCGGTTGCTGCTAAAATTAAACGCTGGTCATTAACTGGCTGATCAATTAGGCTATGCAACTTCTGCTTAATGTCTAGAACTTTCTCAGTTGCATCACATTGCAGAAAATAGGTCGTTTTATTGCGCTTAACACGAATGTACATAGCCTGCATTGAAGAGGAGACAAAAAAGAAACCCACTATAAAATCTACTTGTGAATACAAGGTGCAACTATATGGTAAAAGTCACACCATTACGAAAACATTTGCACCCATGAACTTTTCACTTCCATAAAACTGTGAATCATTTGTCACTTCATCTATTTCCTTGAAATTCAAAAGAAATTTGTATTTCCTCCACATAAAAGTCATAACAAATACACACAACCAAATTTATTAAGAACACATACGTTGTGGTTTACATAAAAAGGTATGATAGTCGAAACCACGTCAGGAATAATAAATAGACTGCCATACACACACAGACCTAATAAAAGAATATTAGTCACTGTTTGCAATTGAAACATGAATTATGTTGTGTGCATGCTTGAAGCAGAAAAAAATAATCATGGTGCTCAAGTGTGTGGCTTAGCATTTCTTTTCATTTCATTGATATCATAAGTAGGAGATAACCTAAATATGTGCTAAGGTTCAAAATGATTAAAGAAGGGGCTTGGAATCTAGAGGCTAAATTAGCATCATTCGTAATAAGCTGTCAATTTGCAAATGGAGAATGGCGACTGATATGCATGGAAAAGGTAAGGGAAGTACACATCAACCTAGGACAGTTTGTGCAAGAATGTGGTAGCATAAAAGGCTATATATAGGGGGATTGCTAAAAGCGCCTACATGATTGTAAGAGAGTAGAAAACATAAAGAAGCATAAACTAGCTATAGGAAAGCAAAGAAACCAGAGAAGTAAAGCATATAATTATAACTACCAAAAACTATGGATGGTAGGGACCATAAACAAATAAAATGCATAAAGAACATGAGCTCAAAATTTAATCAAGGATTTAGAGATGGATGGCTACTTTAATGAGTTGTTCGATGTAGATAATGAGGACATCTTAAATAACTTAAGAATTTTTTATACTACACTAAAAGAAGGATTGTAGAATTAATTTGAGGTGAAAAGGAACTAAAAGAAAATCGAATTAAGCAATCCTTTAGGATTTGATGGTATTTCTCTTGAGGATTGGAGGGGAGGTAGCTACAATGTCGCTTGCTAAGTTGGTTGATACATTTTTTGGACAAATAACATGTTTGATGAGTGGTGAAGATCATGTAGGTCCTGATCTTCAAGAATAAACGGGATACCAAAAGATGTACCAATCATAGAGGTATCAAGCATATGAGCATAAAATGAACTATTAGACACTTAAATTTCTAACATTCTTGTAAAACCATAAGTGAAAATCCAGAACCATCTCCAACCTACTACACCTTAAAGAACAATTCCAATGCCAACTATGATTAATGAAGGCCCAACTAACTTCCATACCTTCTAAACTAGAGAAGAAAGTTACCAGTAGCCCAATATGAGGAACAACTCCATATTCATTACTCCAAATCGAAAGTGGATACGGAACAAACTCAATTTCAAAATTAGAGCAAAGTGAACTTCAACATTGACAATCCGAACCATAATTAAGCTCGATCTTCAATGTCTATTCAGGTAGATGGAGAGCAGTTCAAAATGAAGACAAATATACTAACCATTGCAATGCTTTCAGACTTCACGGACAATGATAGACTGCAATCTTCGACGGTCAATTTCGCCAGAGACAACGGTGATTCGTCGAGTTAGGTCAAAATTGGGGTTTCTACCCTTCCTCGCTCCTCTCTCCGTCTCCACTTCAATCAAACCTACAAAGCGTATCGATCTTCGCTTTTTCTCCGATGATGGAATGGATGAAGAAACCGAATTATAAACCCGTTCCACCGCTCCTGACCCGTTTCGGACCCGCCGTCTGTAATGGGATACAAGCTACCCCTAATTCATATGGTTTGGATTTGGTTGCGAGATTTGTTAGTTAGAAAATGAAAAAAAATATTACCAACAGTTAATCCAACGCAAAATAACTTAATTTGAAGCAATTCGATGTCTAATCAAGTTGTAAAATTGTGAAACCGTAGGTATTGAGTTAATATTAGTTTACTATTATTCGAACTCAACCCAACTCGATGAACCCGATATTCTTTTACTTCTTTGATTTAATATGATTGTTGAATTTCTATTAGTATATACATCAAACAACAATTATACTATTATGTATGTTTTTCATATACACATATTTTCAATCTATTAACATATCTATATAACTCATTTGTATATATATTCAGTAACTATAAACATATATATGTAAATTGAAAAAATTAACTGAATATATATGCGTAAGAAATATGAAAAAATTGTATTAAATAGTTGACGATGAAAAAGAAATTATGAATAACGAAATAACATATTCAAGGTTAATTAAAAAAATATTTTAATATAACAAAGTATCAACTCAATCAATCCGAACTAATTAAGTTGAATTGCATTTTAATTTGAATTGAATTAAGATTTTTCAAGGGTTCAACTGTCTTCGATCCAATCAACCGATACCGTAAACCAGATTCCATCAAAAAAAAAAATTGATCAAAGATCAAGAATTGATCAACCCATTTACCCAACTAAAAAGTAAAAAGTGAAGCGCGATTTGGTCAAAAGTCAAAACTTTCCCAAATCCACTTTCAAGATCACATTCACAGCCAACATATTTCTTGATCGTTGTTGTGCTGCTCACCGAATCACTCCCTTTTTATTCCCCAAAATCTCACGCATTTTAGTACCCACAATAATCAATATCTAAACTAGGGTTTCTCCATCTTTTCGAACTCCTTGAATTTAGTTGGAAAATCTCTTCGAAATCATGGGGAACACGTCGTCAATGCTTACTCAATACGATATCGAAGAAGTCCAAGAACATTGCAACAACACCTGTAAGTAATTAAGGAGTTGGCACTACACCTATACTATTTTTTGAATTTTGTAAATTGGATTAATTTTCTTTTAAATCAATTGTAGTTTCGCAACAAGAGATAGTCTCCTTGTACCAAAGGTTTTGTCAGTTGGATCGTAATAGTGGTGGGTTCATCTCAGCTGACGAATTCCTTTCGGTGCCGGAATTCGCCGTCAATCCCCTCTCTCAGGTTTATTTGAGTTGATATATATGGGCATTATACCACTTGATTGTTAGTTTTGCTGTTAGAGCGTGCATAGTTTTCATGTAACTTATTATGAGAACGGAAATTGAAGTCTAACGCTGCACGAATTCCTACGTTCTCGAATTGTCAAGCTGAAACGTACTCTTTACCTTCTTTTCTGCTAGCAAAATGTCTATTTGTAAGATTTTTTTAGTGGCCTCAAAGGGGCATGGAAAGTGATTGAAACTTGAGATGTCACACATGTGTAAAACCCATATCACCACCTAGGAGGTTATTGCTTTCCTTCGGATATATTGTGTTTGGGGACATTATTATGGGTTCCATGGCACTTGGAGACGCTCAATTTTCCTGCTACCATAATAATCGACTGGGCAATTATGCTCAAGTACTTGTTTTTTGTAATTATATAATATTTATATACAGAAAATGCAACAAATAAAACCCAGACACCCTCCTCACCATTGGAATCACTACTTGTTTGTGTATAAACAATTACAATTTCTTTTATTTCATGGCAGTGATATCGTACTTAAAACAATCATCAGAGTTTAAGTTTATTAATGACTCTTGACTCATGTTTTTCTTCTCTCAGCGATTATTCAGGATGGTTGATGGGTTGAACTTTAAGGAGTTTGTGGCATTTTTATCTGCATTTAGTTCACGTGCCACCTTACAACATAAAGTGGAATGTAATAGCCACCGCCTTTTGTTCTATGCAAGTTTGAGTTCTAGCCTACATATGCACACTATAATTATTATCTTTTTACTTGTTGACAAAGGATTCTAATCATTTGCAGTCATATTTAAGGTTTATGATTCTGATGGCAATGGGAAGGTTGCATTCTCTGATTTGTTGGACGTTTTACGGGACTTGACAGGGCAATTCATTTCTGAACAACAAAGGGAGGTGAGTTTATAACCGACAGTGGTACCTTTTGCTCATTTGATTAGTGTTTAAAAGCTTTTAAAATGCTGGAAATAGATTTGATTCTGTCTAAACTACTTCTTAAATGATTAGAATCTTAAATAACAAATGTAGGGAATAATTGTCAGCACTCATTGTACAAATTTTCATTAATACTAGCTCAAATTCTACAGAGTGTAGCTGTATGAGTGAATAAGTGTGCTTTATAACATGCATATTGTCTGCTTACCATACTTCTTCATGTTGCACATGCTGGAAATAGAGCCGGTAGTGATAGATTTGCAACAAAATGCATATCAAATCTTTATTGGACAGAAGTATGTGTAAGAAAACTCTTGCCAAAAATGAAGAGAAGAAAATTGTTGGGAAGATGAACTTTTCTTAAGTGCCTCCTTTTAGAGGCTAACTTCAACAACTTGAAGTATGGTTGTCAAAAGACAGAGGGATGGCTGCCAAAATTTGGTGGGGACATGCCTTTCTTTCAAAGGAAATGGGGATGGTAGTCAATTACATGTGACCACATATCCATACTCATTCAACAAATCTTCACTTTGGACTTGGTTCTCCGAAATTAGTGACTTGCTCCACCTCCTCCAAGGCCCCCAATGGACTGGATCATAAAGGATGAATACCAATCAAATCCAAGCATTGCTTTAACTTGTAAACAGGAAGAGCCTTTGTGAACATATTGAAAGAATTGTCCTTCGTATTTACTTTTTGAGTAAGGACTATCTCTCAGCAATGTATCTCGAATGAAGTGATTTTATCAATACATCTAATGTTTAGTCAAATAAGTTGCAATTTCATTATGACAATAAATTGTAGTAACCCTTTCTGGTAGAGTTAATTCGTCGAATAAACCTCTCACCATAAAGCTTATTGGATACCTCACTCAATGCCATGTATTCAGCTTCGATAGTAGATAATGCCACTATATGTTGTAGAGTAGCTATATAGCTTGTTACACCACCTCCGATACAAAAGACATAGCCAGTAAGAGATCTATGCTTATCAAGATCACCGCTGTAGTCCTAATTCATAAAGCCAACTAGAGTGTTTTTTTTTCTACCAAATTCCAAACAAGTTCTTAAACTTCCCTTTTAAGTATCTAAGAATCCACTTCACTGGCTGCAAATGTTCTTTGCTCGAACTTGCCATGTTCCCGCTACCAACACTAACTGCTTGTAAAATATCTGGACATGTACAAATTATTGGTCACATAATGCTGCCAACCGCACTAGGGTAAAGAACTCGTGCCATATAATCTTTCTCTTCCTTTGGTTTTGGTGATTGAGCAACAAATAGGCTAAATTGTTACCGAGAGGAGTACTTACGGGCTTCACAGTCTGATTGCCACATTTCAACAAGACTTTCTTGAGGTAGTTTTCTTGGGTCGGATATGACCTACCAACTTCTCTGTTCTTTCTAATTTTCATGCCAAGAATCTTCTTAATTGTTCCTAAAACTTTCATTTCAACAATGCCTTCAATTGGTGAATTTTGGTCAGATTCTTAGACGCAATAGACATATCAACATATAACAACAAATAAATGAACGAGCCATCATCTAACTTCCTGGAGTAAACAACACTATAGTATAGGCTTCCAAAGAAATCATCACCCAACACTGGACAGTTTATCAACTTGATCTGACCAGACTGAAGAATTTTGAGGCGGACTGTATTATCAATGTTAAGCTCCACCATTTCTCGAGTATTATCATCTCTCTCAAGATTACAAGGATTACCCGACTCTTTTCCAGAATATAGCATAAAGGTTCATCAAATGTGACATCTTTACTAATTACAAGCTTAGGTGGTTTGAGGTTGAGACATAAGAATTTATATCCTTTCCTCTCTGAAGCATGACCAATGGAAATGCCTTTTTTGGCCTTAGGCTCCAACTTTTCTCATTAACATGCATATAAGTTGGATACACAAATATTCTCAAACTAGAGTAATCAACAGGGGTACCTATTCTTGGGCAAACTTCCGTTGCAGTCTTGAAATCAAGAGGACATGGAGAGCATTTAAAAATGTAACAGGTTGTGGAAATGGCTTATGTCCAAAAGTGAAGTGTCTATCCAACATTCTAGATTATACATCAAGCTTTTCCCAAAAGAGTTTGATTCATTCGCTCGATCACACCATTTTGTTGAGCCTGGCACTGCGATTTCAAGCAATTCCTTTGTTCTTACAAAACCCATCTAGTTCATTTCCTCAAAATTCCATGCTATTATCTTCATGCAGTTGCAAAACTTGTTTTCCTGTTTGCTTTTCGATTAAAGCCTTCCATTTTTAAAGGTTAAGAAAAACATCATTCTTATACTTCAAGAAATATACCCAAACTTTTTTGGGGTAATCATCCATAAAAGTCAACATATACCGGAAGGAACACAAGAGGACCCCCAAAGATCTTAATTAATATATTCTCAAGTACCTTCTGCTTTATGGGTAGCAACTAGCAAGTGATTAAAGCGAACTCTTTTCTTCTTTCTAAAAACACAATGCTCACAAAAGTCCATCTTAGATGTGCCTTCTATCATCTTCATCATGTACAACTTTTGTTCCAGATTAAGTCGGTTCCCCACCGTCTTCTTCATGTATATGGCTTTTAACTTGTTCTACATACATTGGAGAGATTTAATTAGCTCACCTTGCCTTGTTATCCGAAGTTCCAATTGTTGTCCCATCATTTCTTCTCGCTTCTTTTCCTCTCCATCAAGTGCCAACTCACATGCATCTTGAAGAAGAATGGCTTCCATCTCGATTTGCCACATATCGAAATTAACACTCTTGGTCAAACTTTTTGATGGAGGTTGTTACTGTCATGGTGTGATAGAGTTGAAATTGAATGTGCTCTAATACCAATTTGTTAGAGAAAAACTAATCTCAAATATTGTCTAATAGCCAAAATGGATAATGGTAAGGAGAAAAAAGAAACGAAAAAAATGGATACAAGTATTTACATGGCTTAGTCAGATGACCTACATCCACAGTCGAAAGATGAGCCAAGTTTCGCTAATATGTGAACAAAGATTTTAGTACACATGATAATAATATGTAAGAAGATGTGGAACTTCTTATCTCTCGCTAAAATATCCCTTCTAGATAGAGGGGAGACTCTTGCATATATATAGGTGGGTTGGTCCAACTAGTCGATATGGGACTTCAACACGCCTCCTAGACTGGGGCTTGATTGGGTGTTGAGCCCCTGGTGGTGCTAAAAAGCCGGCTCGAATAACATGGTAGAGTACGAAGAACCCCTGATTCTCTCTAAGAGAGGCCTTATAAGAGAGGGCAGATCCCTCCGTATATACAGGTGGGTTGGTCCTGACTAGCTGATGTGTCTCTCCAACATATACAAAACTCTTGTCAAAATGAATGGAAGAAGGGAATTGTTGGTGTGATGAACTCTTCTTACGTGCCTCCTTTTATAGGCTAATTTCATCAACTTGAAGTATGGTTGTCAAAGGCAAATGGATGGATGTCAAATTTCGTTGCAGGGACATTCCTTTTCTTAAAAAGCAAATGAGAATGGTAGTTAGTTACATGTAGGACTGGCCGACTGGGACCACAAGTCCATACTCACTCAACATGATGGAAGAAAAGTAAAAGCTAAGTGCAACTCTTGAAGGCAGGAAAGTTTGTTATGAACTTGTTTATGTTGCCTACCTTTTTCTTGGTATCTTTGTGCCTATTTATGTGGAAAGAAAGTTGCATTAGTTTGTGATCGGAAAGCCTAACATTGTCATGTGAAAGATGACAAATCAATACAAAATATCATTTATTGCTAGTTTTTTTTGTGAAAGGAGGAGAGTTGTTACTCTGTATTGTGTTTGTATGATTGTGAAAGACATGCATTTCATTTCTACTCCTTTATAACTTGGGAAGAAGATATTGGGAATATGCAATCATTTGCATATTACCCCATTAAGCATTCTTCAATAAGTAACACAAATATAACACAATATATCTCCACCAAATTAACTAGCCAACTAACGTGTAATAACAACATATTGTAATAAAAACTAATAAAAAGTCACAGCCATTCAATGGCATACAAAGGCCAATGGAATTTGCCAAAGGATATTAACATCAACATTTAACTGCCAAGACTATTACTGTGAAATGCATAGACTATCATATAGTCTTGAGGACTTGGAAATTTGGGCAATCTATAATGATGTGATGATGACCATGAGATCCATTTATAATTATAGTTTTATAGCATGAATAAGTTAGAAGAAGCTCCTCAACTTATGAGCATAGGTTAGGTCATAATCAGAATATATGCAGAAAATACACGAAAAACGAAGCATATGGAAAAGAGCACAATCATGATAAGAATGTCATATAGGGAAAGGAGTAAATTGATATAAGAATGCCAGGTAGGGACGTAGGTCAGCGAACGTACTTCTCATAAAATTAAACCAAGTATTGTTATAAAATAAACTCGAATTTAACTTGCAAGCAAAGTAAGTGAACATAAGTAATGCAAATATTTTTCATTAACAAGAAAGAAAACATTGTCATAATATTATAGTAGACTTACAGTAACATATACAAATAAATCTAGGAGAACATATAATTGAAGACACAGCTAAAAATAAATAAGGAAATATAGCATCTGCATCTCATCACAAGCTTTTCTTCTCAACAAACTCGATCCTTTTTTTTTTGTTTTTTCCCATTCCTTGTACCAATTCGATTAGAAAGATTGTGTACTGAATCCAACTCAGCTCTCAGTTTTTTTCAATCATGGAGATTTGTATCAGACATTCCCATTTACTATGACCCTTGTTTCTTCCTTGCGGCTTTTTTGGAGCATTTTTGACAGTAACCTTTGCATGGAGTCTTGAGATCTCTCAAACTGAACCAACTTTTCCAGATTCAAATGTGTTGATGATCTGCAAAAACGCTTGTTGGAAGTAGGAACATCTTGTACTCTAATGTTGGTTGTTTACAACCAAAACACTCCTTTATATGCTTAGTCATTGCTTGTTAAGTAGAAAGATATTATGTGGTAGGGAAATCAGAATTACTAGAAATTGTTTTGGATAATGGAGGAAGCATTTGTGGATTTAAGGCCTGAAAGCTGGAAAGCTCTATTAATGTGGGAAGAGAAAGATATGGGATACCGAACCAAACTAACCCAGTATATCCCACTCAGAGGTGGGTCTGGGGAGGGTGAGATGTACACAATCCTGACCTCTACTCCAAAGAGTAGAGCGACTGTTTCCGTGAAGACCCTCAGCTTGTGGAAAAGTGAATGTGAAAATAAATAAATTTGACCACGTGTTACATCTGGGATACAGAGTACAATTCGTAATTTCGTTTTATTTATACAATCTCATTTCAGTTGTTAAGCATAGCTATACTTTTTACAACCTGATTGTACTGTATGACATACTATGTAAAAACTGTCAAATACCTCCCACTACTCAAGTTTAACAGAAAGTTCCAAAAATCTGAAGTGGGTTAGAATAGAGCTACATTTCTTTGAAGTTCAAAAATTAAGTGTAGTCCATTTAATGTAGGAAGAACTATTTTGAGATTGATGCGAGTATGATTTTCCATGGACCAGCTCCTGTGGATGAGCTTGAACCTTTGTTCTCAAAATAAAAGTTTATAAACCACAAGGGTGATGCCTGATTGGTTTGAGCTTGGCTCCAAAGGTCAAAAGTACCTGGAGGTCCCAAGTTCAAATCCAAGGAGGAATAAAAATCCCCTTGTGGCTACGGAGGTTCAAATCTGGTGACTCCAGGCTATCTGCAAAGCAGGTAGTCGCCCTGGGATTAGTCGGCTCGCATAACGGGTTGGATATCCAGGTTAATCAAAAAAAAGTTTATAGAAATCAATAAATCTAGGGAATTTGATTATTGCAATTAGAGACATAAAGTTCTATGTTAATGACACATTAGGCTGTATCATTACAGTGTTACTGTTTTCAACTACATGGTTCATGATATTTCAAGCACAGAGAAATCACCAAAAGTTGAGTATCTCTTACCTTACACAGAAAACCTGATGCTCATCAGATGAATAAGTTGAATCAATGAGGGTCATTGGTAAATTCAGCTATCGTTAACCCTTATTGAGGCAAGATCCTATGAATAAACAGGTCATACAAGTACAACCTTCTTCATTACTCTGACCCACTGTCTCCAAATCTTACATCATTTACACAAATTCAAATTGTAATTTTTTTTGATACTACAATCCCCAAACCATAGCCTCTATTTTCTAGGAAAGTTCCATGACTTGTGACTAGCTGACTTGGAACATCCATTTTACCATTCAATGAGCATGGATGGAGGTGTTTTGGATCTAAACAACCACAACCACTAGTAGAAGTTTATTCAGCTGGTTATGGACAAATTTGAGCCTGTTTTACAAATCGAGAGATTTGGATGCTTGATGGGACTTGTCTGCTAATGACAGCTCTGAAGAAGCTTTGGTAAAGGACTAGTGGTTGTGAAACCTGAGTTTGTTTCTAAGAATGGAAAATTTTGGGTTGATTTTATGGAGGTCATATAGACTTTAAACCATGTCCGTATATGACAATTCTTATCGTTGAATGTGCTAATCTCTGTGGATGACATTCTTTTCATAAATGTGCTCATTTCAAGGAGTCATGTTTTCTGTGCTTGGTTCTTCTTTTTGTTTCTTTCACTTTCTATTTTGATTATGTTTGTAATTTGCTGTCTTGTGTTTATGAGCTCCTCTCTATGATTTCATGATCAGATTGTTTTTACATTCTGCAGATCCCCTTTCTTCTCATTGCTAACTTTGTTGGCTATAACTTATATCTTTCTGATGAAGTTATTTCCCCCTTGGCTTTGTACACTATCAAATGGTTTTGACTTCTGATTTATCTGTATATATCGTTAGTATACATATTTTTATACTATTAGTTTATTTAATAGTATTGGGTTAATTATACCTGTATGGAAATTGTTGCGTTTTTCTTTTCCCTATGAACTCACCAACAGAAATTTCTTCTATAAGTTGCCTTCCACATGATTTTAGTTTGTTTTCTTAAGCTAAAGTGATCTTTATGTCAATTCTGCTTCTACAGCTTGTTCTGACACATGTTCTCGAGGAAGCCGGTTACAAGAAAGATTCTTTATTAGTTCCGTCCGACTTCATGAAGGTGATTTGAATTTCCATATTCTCTACTAAATACAGATTACAACTTTTTACTCCCTTTGTTTCAGAATTACGGTCGACTTTGTCATTGTTTTGTTCATTCTAATAAAAAAAAAGATAACTTAGTGAGGAATGAAACATTGCACTTAAATATATCGTGCACTATTGCATTTACCTTAATCCTCACAAATTTTAACCAAGTTGTGAACTAGGGAAATTTGATATATTTTGTCATTATGTTGTTGATTGTAATGTTCATAAGCATGTTATTGTCATCCTAGAAGTTATTTAATGACATTATACTAATGATGTAATACATCCACCCTAACATGGGAGAGAATTTCTTTTTTGGGATGTTCATTTCCAGTTTCAAGTTTCCTTCTGCTAAGTTTACATATGTTTCCAAATTGATGATCTAGAATAATGATAGTATTGTCTTTGCCATGCTTGTCGCAAGCCGGGGGTCTTCGCAGAAACAGCCGCTCTACTTTGTGGTAGAGGTCAGGTTCTCTACATCTTAGTGGGTTCGTTTGTTTGGTTTGGTTTGATAACGTCATTTATAAATCTGAAGACTGATCGTCATTTCTTGTATGGGAATACTTAAACTAGTACTGTCTGTCAGATTCTGGATTCAGAGAACTCTGGCATGTAATAAGTTCATAGGAACCGGATCTCTGGTAAAATTATTCATGGCATAAGGTTCGGTCATAAATACATAACTACCTTTCTACGTACACCTTTACCATCACATTAGCATAGTCTTTAAGTTTTCTATGTGCATTTAAAGAAACCACATTTGTGACAGCTCTTTTTATAATAAATTGGTAGTAAAATCCCAAAAGGCTAACCTTGATGCACCAGAACACTGTTTTCTTGGCATTTAGCAAGGGGATTGTTTCTGTTGGTTGGACTCATGACCTTTTTGGTCACAAAATAGTAGCAACCTCTTCATTGTAATAAATTTCAGTTTAGAAAGATTAAGTATTTGGTAATCGGATAATGAACACTTATAGTTGCAGATTCTTGGCAACACTGAGTTGAAGATGGAGGTTGAGGTTCCGGTGGACTAGTCTGTGATGTAGAGAAGGTGATGCTCTTCTATAAATCGGGCCTTTAGCTACTTGTATTATGTTTAGTGTAAACATGCAATGTTTTAGTTGCCCTTTGTTTGAATCTGAATTCAATCTTATTTGTGTCCTCCTTACCATCTGTATTCCACACTTTAGCATTTTATGAATCGCCTTAAACTTGCAAGTGTTGCCAGATTTCTGGTTGATTGTGTGGCCCTTTTGGCTGTCTACATGTTTTCCGGACAAGAGAATCTGCATGCCGTCATGATTCATGAATCGTTTTACATCTTGAACATACATTCCCGACTATAGGGATTCGGGTGTAGATGCATGTTGTGTATGGTTATAAATGGGGGGTTTATTTTTTAGAATGTTCTTCTATGAAATGTGCCAAAGGAACTGGAATGAAAGTTTGACTACATATTTGATTGGCTGGAATGAAATCTATTAACGAAATTGGTGTGTAGCACACAAATGGTGTTAAATCAAGTGTTTTGGGTTAAGCCAAAAGTATCGTATGATAAGGAGAGTTAAAAAAGGCAAGAAATGACATAGCTTTGGGTTAATATGTGGTTTATATTATATATATATATATATATATATATATATATATATATATATAAAGCATGAAATGACATAGCTTTGCACGCAAGGGGCTTTTGTGTCCTGCGCGTGCAAGACCGTTGTCGACTTGCTGTCCACAAGCTTTTAAAACTTTAAAGAGAAACTAAGGATTCCTTTTTCATCATTTTTACAGTTTTAGTCCCTTGATTGATTTGTTTTTACATTTTTAGTTTAAAATAGTTGATTTTTCTTTTTGGACCCTGAATGTCAACGTGCTCATGCTTAGAAACTTCAACCAACTCTCTTTATAGTCTACTAGAAGCGTACTCGTGCAATGCAGCGAGATACATCGTGTTTTTAATATTTCATTTTATTTTTTATCTCAGTTGATGTTATAATATGGCTTTATGTGATTTTGAGAAAGCGATGATGTTTTTATTTTTGAATAAA